CGAGGACTTCTTCGCACGATTAAACAGTTTTCCCTACGCGGCAATCCTCCTTTGGCGTCCGGTGAGTCATCATGAATTCCTTCATACCAACTTTCCTTTCGAAATGGAGTCATGTCACAATAAAAAAACTGTCTTTGATAATACTCGAATGACTTTCAGAAAATGAATATTTTAAGTCACCAGAAAGAATGCCCCAACATTTCATAGGCTATTAGTAAGTAAAGACAAACTTTGGTTTTTTAGCCCAGTGGCTGAGAAATGAAGGGCCAAACACAAGCCTAGTATTGTTCCAATGTTCTGACCTACATATCGAATGTCATAGCAAGAACTCCCCAGGCATATATACGGAAAGCACTTATATACTCAGTAGGTAACCAAAAGGGTAACTTACCGAAACGCCAACAAAAGCGGTCTCATTCATTGCTCGATATATTTCTGTAAACACAGTGTTGTCATTGTAGTCAAAGTCAAGCAGTGTGCCTAAATTTTTTAAACGCAGACGTTTGTCAGCCTTATCCAAGGCGTACGCTAGCGCCCAAATGGCGTCGTAGGCTAGTGGTGATTCTGCATAACCAGGGATCCTGGCGCCAGCTCCGAGGGCCGGCGAACCCCCTTGCTGATCAGAATCTGAAGCTGAGGCAGCAGGCAAGGAAGATATATTTGTCTGACTCTTTAACGAGGGACCTAGGAAGCCGGGAACTGAGGAGGCTACGGTGAGGCTGGTGGGAGCGGAAGAGGCCAACTCGGATATATCAATTCCCTCTTCCTCACGTAGCCGTTTCTGAAGACGTTCCGAGAATTGTTGAGAGGTCTAAATAAAAAATAAGTAAATGAGGCTTCTATAAAACTATAACCAAAGAGTCTGATATAAAAAATGCCGCGAATCCAAGTACAAAGAACAAAATGAGCGATTTGAAACAAGTTTTAGTGATTGAGCCCCAAACTATTGCTTAGTAGATCAGTGTAGTTCGGTTAAGAAATACAGAACCAATTTCCTCATCTGTCCTGATTACTTAGTAAGATCTTTTAATAGCTGTTGAGCTTACATCCATTTCGAGTGAGTGTTGGGTAAAAAGATTCGATTAGCTTTACTGGAATATTCATGCTGACGCTATTTCTAAAGCAATCTTCTTCGGATCCTTCGGGACCTTCGAATCTCTTCA